GAGAATAAATAGACAATTTTATCATTTATCATTTTAAGTAGGTTAAGGAGATAGAGGAAATTCAAATTTTAAACGACTTCCTCAGAGCTGTTTTTACAATACTCTTGAAAATCACAGACGCGCAGTTTCGTTTTTCGACCTTTACATCCCATAGCATTATACTTGTACATGGCCCTTTAATAGATTCTTTGAATTTAAAAGTACGAAAATTGTTCCTGTACTTCTGAAGCATCTGACATTTTCTGAGATATCATTACTGTACATTGAAACAGAAACCAAGTAGTACAATTTTTGTGAAAGGATTTACCTGAATTTACCTTTTTTAATATTGCAAGCCATGAACATAGATATTCATAATGAATGAGATCTACCTTTAAGTAAGGTCTTTTCTGATCTATTCAAATGATATTTTTTTCTTCCATAAGAAGTGATGGAAAATTGCAAGTGCATTTCAACCAGAATAAACGTTGAAAGTGAAGAAAAAGCATGCAAAATATTTTTAAAAGGCTTCAATTTCGAACTTTTGGATTACATTTAAAAAACGCGTTTTGGTTTTTAGTTCGAATACAGTCCTAATATCGATGTATTTAGAGAGAGAAAGAGCAAGAAAGCATTCATTATTTTGCAAACATGTTTCAAATTCTTCAGAATTTTTTTTCAAATGTTTGATTTATTATTGTCAGTATTCTGTAGAGCATTCGTTCTTGTGCAATCTATAGCAATAGCATTGATCATATATTTGTTTGTTTTAAGAATTGCGTGAAAATAACATGCAAGAAAGAAAAAATAAAATGTCAGATTTTTTTTAAGCAAAACTTTTTAAAAGATGCCATAATTTAAATTGCATAAACAGGAAAAATGAAATTTCAGGTAAAATAAATCTAATGCTCCTTATAAATTTGCATTAAAATGTGTGTGAATACCATATCAAAGAAAACACTACTAACTTTAATTGTAATACAGCTTATCGTTATATTTGCAGAAATAAAAAAGACACTTTTGCTTAACAGCCTCAAATAAAGTATTGATTGTAAGCTGTAAAATTAATCGAATGCAGTAATATGTCTCGACTTAGTTTCCCCGACTTACGCGAACCCGAAGTTACGAGATTTTCAAATCTTGTCGATTCGTCTTTTTCCCTATCATTGAAACTCAGGTGGAAAACGTGGCAGAAATTGATAAAATTGATAACGTAATTGAAAAAGTTGTTGATCTTGCCAGTCAAATTAATTTAGAATTGGATAGTGATGGCGTTCAAGAAGAGCTGGGTTCCCATAATCAGGAGCTGACAATTGATGAGTTCGTAAAAATACATAAGCAGATCAAGACATTGAAGAACTCGAGTCTTTAGATTCAGTTCAATCAGAAGATCGAATGATGGTTGGGAATTTGATAGAAGGCCTCAGTTAAGTTGGAAAAGAGTCACAATTTTTTTAGAAAATATAGACTCTAACGAAGATTGTATTGTTTCAACAAAACAAGGAATAAAAAAAAAATTACCATTCTACGGAAAAATTTTAAGGAGGAAAAAAAAATCTTTGAGCCGGCAGACTTCTTTGTTGGATTTTATGAAACCTTCTACATCAAAATAACTTCGGTTTGCGATTTTCTAATTGTGCTATCTAAGATTTTATAAAACATTTTCTTTTTATAAATTATTTTCTTTCTTCTACAGCTTCAACTTAAAATAAAT